GACTCCTCTGTTGTGTACACAGCCCTGGAAACCACAGTTCCTTTTCTACCTACTAATACAGGGAACAGAAACTCTAATAATCACCTGACAGCAGGGATTCATGAGGAATGAGCAATCAGCCTCTGCTTTTGAAGTTCAAAACGGGCACAATACTCTTAATGTTGACACTTAGCACATATAGTATGTGAAACTGTACAATGTCACCTTTACTGATTTCAAAAATGCCCATAACTCAGAAGGTCTTTGTTTAAAAGCTTTATTGTCAACTAGGAATTAAGCTATTGTAAATAACGCTGAAAATGTAACTCTCCAAACCTTTACAGGTTCCTTACTGGGTCACATGCTGGCTGAGTCACAGGTCGGGATGATCAATAGCTGATTGTGGAAGCAGTGAAAGCCAAACACCACAGTCATCAGAACATGGAAAACCCCAAAGGAAACAATTGTCCAAATCACCAGGTGGTTTAATATGAGCAAGTTCCTCGCTGTCCAAATCCCTTACGGCATTACTAAACATGGGATGGTCAGATTCAACACATGCTGAGAAAAAAATAACCTCTGGATTGTTTCTGAGTGCAAAGGAATCTCCAAAGTTTAAAGTATCTAAAGTATCAATAAAGTTGAACTTACGTCATTAATCTAGGACCCACATACGATAAGTAAGTTACTAAGTATATTTACCGCAGTATACTTATACTTCAGTGTAAGGCAAATATATTCCACTCCATTTATTTGACAGCAATAGTTACTTTACAAAGATAATTCACACAGGAAACATATGATAAGCTTATGAAATATCATGCATTTTTAAAGAAGTAAAGAGTGACCAGAGGGTGGTATGGAGACTTTAAGTGGTGGCAAAAATATAAGCTGAGTTAATGGCAGTCAACAGTCACTTATATCTTATATCGCATTACATTATTGTGGCACATTAGTAAAAGATTGAATAAAAATATTATATCTAAAGATGGCATTGAAATTCAATAAATCGTTTTATTTTCAGATCTTCAAATTAAGACATTTACAAACATGTCTTTTATCCTTTTTTAACATAAGCGTATCACTCAGTCTAAAATGTGGTCATGAAAGATCATTTAATTGATTTCTGTTTTTTAACACATTACTTTTCTAATTAATCTAAATAAATGTGTTAAGTTTGACAGCATTTGACACTTAACTGGATCAGTCAGGCAGTTTTTAGGCCACCCCTCTAAATCTGCCCCTTGTATAATGTAGTTAAAGGTCAACAGTATAATGCTACTTAGATATTGGTATGACACTGACAGGGGCCATTTTTTTTGCATTGAGTACTTAGGTACATTCATGTGAAATTTTCAATGCATGATTTTTACTTAATATTAATAATTAATAAATTAATATTTTTACAGTCCGATATTACTACTTTTACTTAAGTAACAAGAAAGGAGTTTAAGTTTTAAGTAAAGGATTTGAATATTTCCTCTATTACTGCCATTTCTAAACCACATATTTACATACACGTATCACAACTTTCACAAGTTTCTAATGTCGGCCCGTGTTTAAGAGCAACAGTTAAAACAACTTTTTAAAACTTGAACATGTGTATATACTTAATGTATACTTAGAGTAGAAACATGCTTAAAGCATAAAAACATATAGATTCATTGCCTGTCTTGGCTGGCTAATAAAACACTTCAGATTACAGAGTCTTCTTCAGCTATGTTGATTTTGGTTTCAAGATGCTGAGAAACGCTAAAAGAGGAGTCTGAGTCACTGAGACTTTGACTGATTGTAACCTTCACAATGTAAAGAAGAAAAAAAGCTGACAAAAACCTGTTTCATGTTACACCACACGTGCTCTAATAAAAAAGTAGCTGTGACCTTGTGACTCACTTAGTGTAAATGCAACATATGTACCTGTGGTTCAATCCAGAATGGGACCTTTGTCACATGTCTTTCTCAAACCTTTCCCTAGTCTTTCCTGTCAACTGTGCAAATCAAAGCAAATAACCAAAAATATGTCTAAAACTCTTGATACATTTCTATAGTCTACCATATAAGTATATAATAAACATTAACAACAATTTAAACAAACAATTTAATAAACAGTATCTTATGTTGCCCTCTTCCTTTAGTTAAAAAAAGTACAGTGCAACTAAAATTGAAGGTTTATGATCATCACAAGCAAGTTGGCCATTTACATGGCTGTCTACTGGTACTTGACATTAATCCATAAGGCTCATAATACATACCTATATACGTCCTCTAGAGTCATACGTCTCTTGTGTTCTGACAGTGTGGCCAGTCCCTCACAGTGACTTCTGAACCCAGATAGTTCCATCAGAGCCCCAAAAGCCTCGGGGCCCCATCCTGGTATGAGGTGGCAGGACAGTGGGGAGAACCCTGGGTAGAACTGTGAAGGGGAACATCTCAATGTTCTTCTGGCTCTTCTTCTCAGTGGAAAGCACCTCAGAGGCAGATCGAAACCCACCCCCACTGAGAGTCACTTGACAAAACTTTCTGTAGGGGGTAAGGGCTGAGATTAACTTCAAATTGTTCAATTGTTGACATATCTATTTTTTGGGGGCTTTACCTGACAGACACCTCTAAAAGTGCAAGTTAACCTGGAGAGAGATAGCAATGTGGGATGGACAGGTGGAAAAAGCTGATTTACTGATCGAGCCTGACCTCTAGTGGCATTCATGTAGAAACACAGGCAAATGGAATCCAAACACTGACCTAGTCAAACACAGGGCTGGTCGACCACACTGTAATATTAAGTTAGCTGTCAGGATGACCTGATGGACATTTCTCATGTCTTTAGGGTGCATAGAAATAAAATGGCTTCATGCTAGCTAATCCTAAACTATGTTTCGATATATAATAGGCTATTAACATGCTCCACTCACTCTATTTTATTGTATTTTGAACCCCTCTGAAATAAAGTTGCTCTGTATGTGTTTTAAGATTGCATTTAGTAACTGAGTCAATTTAAATGTAATAGTTTTTATTAACTTTACTTGAGTATTTCCATTTTATCCTTTTTACTACTACTCACTACATTTATTTTAGAGCTATTAGTTACTTTTGAAATTGAGATTTTACATTAACAAACGTATGAGAAGCTATTATACTGTTAAATATTAAAGTAGTGGTTCTAAATCTTTTTAGCTTGTGACCACTAAAAAAAAAAACAGTGTCTAGTTGGGGTTAGGTTCTATTTGTCTGTGGGGTGGATAGGTGGCTCACCCGGTGGAGCTCACACTCCATGTACTGGGACTCGATGTTTGTTTCCGGCTTGTGTTCCTTTGCTACTTATGGTTCTCTCTCTCTTTCCTGTCAATCTTCAGCTGTCTCTATCCATTAAAATTATAAAAAGTCTGAATATATATAAAGTTTCAGATGTCTATGAGTTGTTGGCAGTTCCTTTCTAAACTTCTCAGATGGTTACATTTAAATATGAGTTTAAGGCACAAAGAGGCAAAATGATCAATATTTCACCAAAAAGAAGAAAGAATAGAAAAGAAAAACAGAATATTAATGTATTTCGCAGAACTTAGCCGCAGGGCCATTTTACTTTTTATACTTTAAAGGATCAGTGTGTAGAATTTAGTGGAATGAAGCGATGAAGTTGCAGATAACAACTACTTGAATACAGCTCAGCCTTCCAAGCATGTAGGAGAAACTACGGTGACCCCGAAACTCGAGAACAAACTAAAAAACTAAAAATAAAACTAAACTTCCCTGCCTAGAGCCAGTGTCTGTTCTGGGCTACTGTGGGAAGGCTCCATGGAAAACAACCCTTAGTGTCTGTAGATATAAACGTCTCATTCTAAGGTTACGAAAACTCAACAATTCTTATATTCAAGTGGTGATAAACTAATGAAAATATACCTATGAATATTATATTACATTTCTGCCAATCAACCCCCCTAAATGTTACACACAGGAAGTCAAAATAAACAATCTAAAAGCAGCCTATTACAAACAAAAGTCCTCTTTTCAAAACTATTAACAACAAAATATAGAATAAAAGAATATGAATACTTCTTCCTCCACTGAGTGGAATATTTCCCCATAGGTTGTTTGTTGTTGTTTATTGGTTTGTAGGAATTTTCTAGTCTCTAATAAAGGAAAATATTATTAATATACCTGTAGTTGCTATAGAGGTGCTACTTGCTTGAACACATCAATCCTTATAAAACTCTGGAGCACCAATTTTATGTCCTGTGGTTTACTGTAAAATAAAATGAGACAGAATGCGACACGTACAAGTGTCTATTGTGTTCTTGCTTGTGTTATTTCCCTCTTTCAACTTAATACCAGTAGCTGTCTCTCTGAATTTTCCATTACCGTCTGTCCTTCTCTGCCTCCCACTGTATTTCTCACCCTCATGTCATTTTCTCTCTCACTCCCGTCCCCTCTGCACTCTTTTCTCTCCACCCCCTTTTACAGAGAAACCAGAGCTGTCAAGACATGTTGAGCAAAGTCTAATTCTCACTCAGACCTATCCTGGGGTGGGGCTCTCTGGGTGTGTGCATATCAAACCTCGTGACTCACATCTGTGTGTTGTTTATCAGCTATGTTCCTCTCCTGTATGTGCCTGTATTTGTGTGTTTGTGATGACAACCCCATAAGATTACACTGAGAGAGGAACATCATCAACATGCAGGTTCCAACAGAATTTTCTGACCTGACTTCACTGACATTGTAAATAAAAAGCTCAAACTTGCATTTAGATTTGGATCCGTCTGGGTATAAAGTAAATTTCGGATGTTTATGTGATTTACTTTGATGTTTATATTCAGCGGCCCTTGACAAATGTGATCATCTTTATAGCCTGCTGCAAAGTGGAGACAGGATTGTGAAACATTTACACACACAATTCCCATCTTTCCGTTTTTTTTCCTTTTCTCCTTCTTCTAATATACTTTTCCTATAGCTTCCTGTTCCTCTTTCATCCTCTTTATCCCTCCAAACATAAACATGGTCACTGCGTTGTAAAAATTAGTCCAAAAATGTAACCGCTTCAAAAAAGAAACTCTTTATTGCATAAAAATACACCAATTCATACTAGAGCAGAAGAACAGCTGGGTGATTTCCAGAAGTGGATGAAGACATTCTCTATAGTACAGTTTACTCGTAAAGTGATTACAAATGACTGAAAAAGCAGGCGTTGAAAACACAGATTCATGCCCATAAGAGTATGTTTTACACCTCACCTCTGAGACAAGTTTCAACAAGTGTAAAACCGCCTGAATCTTTTCTCATTCTCAGTTAAAACTTCTAACAATTTGAAAGACCTGGCTACTAATCTAAGACCAATCACAATTCAACAGTCTTTCCTCTGAACTTGTTCATGTGATTGAACTAAATAACTTGTTTGGGCATGAATTTGGTCCTGGCATAAACAACCATGTGTTTGATGACTGGCATTAAGCGCGAGTCAGTAAAACCAGACTGACCAGATTAATACGCCGTTCAAGGATTTAATAGTAAAACACTAAAGAAGCTAAGGCACACGTTTTACACACAGTATGCCCGAAGATTGTCCACCTTGGTCACAGTGTCTTTTTAAAAAAACCACGTGTTTGGTCATCTGCCTGTGAGAAATTAAACGGAAATTGGTGTAATCTTCGCTCTACATATACCTACTTTGAGGCAACAAGACATGAGGCTCACATGAGTTTGGACTGTTTTAAAAATGTATAATTTTGCCATTTCAGGCACAGATTGTAAAATAACTGTTCTATAGGAGGGAATATTATTAAAAAGTAAAAAACTGAAGAAGTACTCAAGAGGAGGACTAGGTTTTCTACATTTACATGAGACAGATTAATCATCAAGCTCAACATAAATTCATGTAATGTGCTTCCATTTTAAAGGTGACGGAGAAGCAACAACTGCTGAAGCATGAACTACCACACCTCTGTCTACTCACAATAAGTGTATTATTAGTCATGTTCAGAACAAATACTAAGACAGCACAGCAAACTCCCACAGTTATATCCCTTTGGTAATAATTAAACAGCAGATGAAAATGATGACAAAAATGCATTAAAAAAGGTGCAAACAGGACTGTTACACTACACGTACATTTCCATATATAGATTACATTCAGCTTCTGAGTTCAATCCTCCTTCTTACCTTGTGCACAGCAACATACAGAAAACAAGACAGAGTAAAACTAATAATTGTAACACATGGGACAAAATTTAATGATGATTAATGATTGTTTTTGCATCCTGTGCAAAAGCTTTAGTATGAACTGCTCTTCTACCAAGGTTTTAAGAGATCTCAAATAAATCAGACTAAAGCTATGTTTTACACATAATTATATCCTTTAGGGTAAGTGCACTTGGGTGATCTTGCATTGAGAAATACAGGTAAAAAGTACCAATGGGGAAGATTTTTCAATCAGATGCAGAATGTGAAAAAACAACAACATTTTTATGATGCTGGCTTAATCTAAAATAGAAGTCTGTACATTAACAGAAGCAACATCCAATCACAGTCCACTTCCAGTAAGAATCATCCCTTGCTTGTAAGTTCACTCTTGGATGGTGAAGGAGGGTTTTTTTTTTTCTTCCGCTGCCGAGCCAAATTTAACTAAACTGAGCCATCGTGGATGTTTGGTGAAATGGTACAGTGTAAAAATGTTCAATGGCCAGCACAGATCCCGTTCAGAGTGAAAAGTGGAAATGGCTGTAATTGGGTGGGGGTGCAGGTTTTGTCTTTAAGCAGAGGTATAGATGTATTTGGTCTTGGCCAGGCCTGTCAGCTCATCCTCATAGCGGGGCAGGCAGCAGAAGAGGATGGCACAGCCGATGCTGAGGATAGTGGCGCCCCAGCCGAAGCCGTAGGCCCAGGTGTAGTAATAGTTGCCCTCGAAGATCAGCTTGTTGAATTCGACGGGGTAGATGATCAGAGCAATGATCTGAAGAATCACTGCAGGGGGAGGGGGAGAGAGAGAGAGAGAGAGAGAGAGAGAGAGAGAGAGAGGGGTTTATAAAACAATCAAACTCACTCATAAAAACCTAATTGCATTCTAATCTTGAAAAAAACTGAATTATAAAACTATTGGACAGGAGGAGGAAACATAAAAACTGTATAGTCAGTCAGTGGGACAAGTAGACCGCACTGACACTTACAGCACGGTGTGAAAAATACCTTCACATGCGTGTGTAAGAGTTACATCAACATATCAACATCTGTGACATCGAGGTGACTCAGTATTTGCAGACAGCTGAAACACAGCGCTGGCACTCATGGTTGCCTGTCGCTTTTTCCAGTTAGATATTCTCGAGAAAGGTGTGACAAGGATTTGTCTTTGTGATGCAGTTTTTTGTGAAAGTCACTGAAAATGTTTCCCTTTACACCCTCAAGCAAAGGCAGGGCACGTAGTGATTCAGGTGTGATACTTTATCCCAGCAGTCACTCCTCTATTAATCACAGAGAGAGATGGTTTGATTTAATTGTATGTAAATGTGTATTGTAACACACTGTATGTATGTATGTCACTAGTGATTAGACAGGAGTTAAAGGACCATATTGACTTACTTTAACCCATAATATTGCATTTTCCTGAATTCCAGCCATTGCTTTCAGTTCATGTAAGTAAGGTACCAAAAGAAACTAGTGGAAACTTAAAAAGATGCCCAACAGAGGTATACACTTCAGATATCACATAGCGTTCATGGGCAATTTTGAAAAAGTTTGAGGGGCGTCACTGAATAACAGACATTCATTTTACTATTAAAACCACACTTTTTTACTTCCTGGAAACAACAATGTATCTATAAATGTATTAATGTACCAGAAGAAAGAATACCAGAATATTTAATGTAACTGTCAAACTTTATTAAGTCATTACAAACTTTGCACTGTGCACCCAAATTTTTAAATTCTAGTGAAGATTCCAAACTTTTCAGACTCCTATTATATCTGGATGAAACACTGAATCTTGGTTCTTAATATGTAATTCAATGTAAACATCATGTAGCTTCAATGAGGAACTGGAACAAACCCATACAGAATATACTGTATGTGATACTGTCAGATAGTGGGGAATAAAGTCTCCTTAAAGATCCTTAAGAGTAAATAAAGGTGAAAAGTAAAAGGAGTAAGACGATGCTTTTCATCACCGTCTGTGTGGCACTTTTTGAAACTGCACTGCATTTAATCAAAGTAACAAACACAAAGTTATAATCAGATTATAACTGCCCAATGTTCTCAGACTCTCTGTGGGGTGAGTCACATGAACAGACAAAACCAGTTATTACCATGGTAACATCACATGAAAGCCCCAGCCTTCCCTCCTCCAGGAGCTTTCAGATGCCTTTACTTCTCTTTCTCTCTCTCACTCCTTCTCCTTTTTACATCAAACTAGCACGCACCATCTTTATTTAGGATCAAAGTTAGGCTTTCCCCTCTTTTATCACTCCCACTTAAAATCCATTCCCTCTAAAGAAAGCTTGACTTTTACATTTTCTGGCTTCCACTTGAACTCCTCTGCTCTCACACGAACTGTTAACCTTTGTGTCTCTGCCTGACCTTGACTTCTCACACTCCCACTCAGTTTGTTGAAATCCCCCACACACACATTCCTAAGACAGTAAACCCAGACTTTTTAAAGGATCTTTAAAAGACTTTTAGTCTTTATTTAATAAAAATATATCAAATATACAATTAAATCTGTATTTTTTCAGCTGGACCATGATCAGCAACAGAACTACCTTCCACATGGTCTAATAAAATCAGTACATTTAATGGTTAGGTTCAGCACATTACAAATAATATAATCCTAATATTCTCACTCGAAACTGAGACTGGCTATTGAAACTGTCTTTTCAAAAGAAGTTGAGAGAGTTGGCATCACAAGTTAGATTCATAGTCTTTACTTCTTTAATCAGATATTTACTGATTTAAATCCTAATTATGTCAATTTTACTTCTGACTTCTTATGTTTAGACAACATTTAACATTTGGGAACTTTGGCTTCTTCTGATCAATAATCAAAGGATTTTGTAGAAAAACATGTTTTTATAGATCACAATGTGCCTGTCTAGAAACTATCTGACCACTCAGAATAATCAACAGACCTTGCTGTGAAGGGATTATTTCTTCAGTAAAGAAGGAAACTGTCCAAAGCGACGGCTTAAGTCTTAAGACGCAGAGGGTATTCTTTCATCATAACCTTAGCTTTATGTCACTAGGGTTAAATGAGATTCGTTTTTTTTGTAATTTATGTAAACAGACCCTGTAATTGAGCCAGAACTTCCATAGAATTTCAGTTAAATTTCTAAACCCTTTAAATAATAAACATGCAAGCATAAACATGTTCTCTAACTAACACAGGCTAACTGTAACTGTTAAGACCTGAAGGGCCTTTATCAGTTTCAGTCAATCTGGTTTAAGTGTTGATCTTTGTTTAGTAAGGGCCAATTTCATTTTCTACGGAAGTACAACCGAAACAGAGCGATGTTGGATGACGCATTTCATTTAACTTTTAATTTTATTCTCAAAAGCGCAAACTGTAAATGTTATGCTCTGCTTTATTCTCTGTTACTGCGAACTCCACCTGACTCTGCTTCAAACATTTCTGATCGGTTTGCAGGTAGTAGTCATATTTGCCGAAATTTGTTTGTATGCGTGTTCATGCAGAGTGTGCTTGCATGTGTGTGTGAGCGTGTGTATCTTACCAACTACGATCAACAGTACTCCTATGACCGGCAGGAGAGCCAAGTTGAGCGTACAGCACAGAGAGACACAGGAGATGAGGAAGGCGATGATGAGGATGATGAGGCCGATGATCATCAGAGCAGCCACTGCCTGGGCCCAGCCTTGAGTCAAACACAAACAAACAAATTAGTCAGAAATAGTCACCGAATATAGAAATTGCATGGTTCTTTGTAGTTTTTAATAGTACACTTTCAGTTTCAGGTTATTTTCTGAACATTCTCTGACTATCCTGACTAGATTATTAAGATCTGAGGTGATAAAAATGTCAGTTTATAGCATTTTGTTCCTTCTCTTAAACTACCATTAACCTTTTTTACCCTCACTTCTGAAACCTGCACCATTGTGTAGAAGCACCAAATGTAAAGCAGTAACTGTTTATTACATTATATTTAATTTAAAATGTTATTATAATATTGGTCAAAACATAATTATCTCTATCTGATTAGTACACAAGTCGTTAGTACATTTAAGTATGAAGTTTTTTCAGCGTTGTTTCTGAAAATTAGGCAAATGTTGTGCAATGTGTCTTATTGTCATTGTCTACTGAGCTCTCTCTCACCACTCAACAACATGAACTCATGACACAAGGTTATTGCAGATATCGACAGAGAAGTTGTCTACACACACACGACACTCCCTTGACAACACTTTCGCTCTCTTTGTCGCTCTGCCTCTATAATTATAAAGGAACTTGCAGCACACATACAATCTAAAACAGGCAACTCCCAGCATGCATGGTTGTAGATGTTTGGGCCAAAAAAATACGCTTATGAAAGTACGTGAAGTGCACTGCATTGTTTGTATAAACCATTGTATGAGACTAAAAGTGTGTGAGTGAAGTTTCTGCTGTATGTACAGAAGCTTTTATTGTATGTAATAATCTCAGTTAGGAAGAAACATCTCATGCCTCTAAACATGCATTACAGAGTTTATTGTGTTGTGAACAGGTTTCAATTGCGCTCTAAGATTAAAACAAAAATAATCAAACAATCACTAATGCAGATAATCCTAACATTTTTCTATAGAAGTCCACTGTGTCAGTTTGTGAGTTTCAACACACAGTCACACCCAATTAACTGTTACTGGATCAGACAACACCCTAAATTTTTCATACCTGTGTGTGTGTGTGTGTTCAGGTATTGCCCTACCCACCTCAGCCCGAGGTATTTCTCTCATCATGCACACACTGACGCACACCAGACAAGTCCGACTAGTTACATTTTTTCCCATGCTGCTAAAATAGCATTCGAGCCAACAACACAATATTCCTCTTCTTTAACACTGTGGCAGGACCAGCACAATGAACTCAGGCTTATCCGATGATAAGATGATGCAGGCAATAAAACAAACTAAAACACAAAAACCCTCCATACTTTGAGAAACTGCAGCTTCTATCATTGTTTGTTTTGATGATCCCTCTTCCAGATTAGATTGTCCAACAATAGCATGTAGAGAATATCCGCCATCCTGGAAGACTCCCACAAAACACAATTACCAAATAATATTTATGGCTAGAAACAATCATCTCATGGCAGAAACCATCTTGCTACACTGTAACCTTACTGAAGAGTCTCTCAGTCAGAGTATTTCTGTTTAAAGCATGAGGATGTTTACCCAGAAGGAGCATTAAAATAATTAGCTTAGCATTCCAGCAATTTGTGGTTTTGTGGCACCGTGATAATTCATCATCTGCACTGAATTTAAAGTGTGTCCTCACCGTTGTTGATGAAACAACTGGGAAGGATTTTTGGGCTCGTAAACTAGAGACAGTGACGTGAGCAGTTGGATTAGTCCTATACACTTTACAGATGTTTTTCAAATTAAAACGTGCACATTGATAAGAAAAACAAAAGGAAGGATGGAGCTTTACTTGTTGCCGTGATATAAAATTCTCCAAATTCTCTCCTGCCATTGTTCTTTTTATTAAAGCATTAGCAACAGTGCACCCACACACCCGGATGTTTCCAAGCTTTGCCTTCCTCAGTTAGTGTGTGTTCCTTTGTGAGTGCTTCTCTTATACATACAGTACATGTTAAATTTGTGTGCTACAGCTCGGCATTGTCGTGTCCTCATGCCTGTGTTTGTTTCTGTTTTAAGCTGGGGAATGTCGTGTACCTAACAAACACAGTGAATATGTCTGGTTGTGTGAGTGTGTGTGTGTGGCCGTGGGTGAACGCTGCCTGTCCCAATCACCCTCACTTAATGCCATCCAGCTGTTCAACATCTGTTTTTCTCTTCTGATCAAAAATGAGAGAGATTAGGCTTTACTCCTACACTGTAGCTACATACACACAGGAACATGTCCTTAACCGTGTTGTTTTTAATAAAAAATACATCTATGACTTGTACAAGTTAATACACACTGGGGCAAAAACACGCTGTGACTCTCCCACATACAGTGCACAAAGCTTTGGCCATGACAAATGTGGTTGCTTTAAAGCTTGTGTTCAGACCGTTACAGTCAAGGATAATATTCATCAAAACCTCTTAGAAAAAGGCTTTCATGCAGGCAGCAGGGATCAACCTGACACCCTGCACTTTCCTTGAAAAGGTTTTAATGGGGCACCTGCCCAGCCAGCAGTTCTTGGTGCTGGGAACACAGTGCCAAAGTTATAATTCACCCTTTAGAAAGTGCTTTTTGATGGTGAAAAATGAAAACCTTTGAGTTTACAATCATGTGAATTTGTCAGGAGAGGTGCTAAAAGTGTGATGATGACAGTAAGACATGGGTAGGAGTGGGCGATATGGATAAAATCTCCTATGATGGGATACAATGGTTTTTAGAGATGAAACGACTAATCAATTAATCACTTTGAGTAAGCAGCACTGTTTGGTTTCAGGATCTCAAATTTTTTTTAATTGCCCTACATGATAGTAAACTGATTATCTTTGGGTTTTGGATAAAAGAGATAAACTAAGGAATCTGAAGACTGGGCATTTTTCATTATGTTCTGACATTTTCAAGACAAAACAATGAATTGAGAAAAATAACCGTCAGATAAATCAATAATAACAGTAATGATTAGTGGCAGCCCTTGTCATTCTATATTATCGATACATTGTGTTTTATGTGGTTAATCTTCAGGAAAATCCATTGAAAATGTGTCAATAAATAAAATACACGGACTGGTCTGTTTTGGCAAATGCAGCCATTTCAATCAAGGTATTTTATCGCATTTATGCAAAAACCATATAAAAATCAAACGCTGATAAACGCCATAAAGCTGTACCTTAATTTTAACTGGTACAGCCAAATTTCTATTGTCTCATGGTAAATATCGTCATATTACCCCACCCGTGTGCAATGATTCATATCACACCAGTAATTATCAGCTTTTTTGTCAATGCTGCCTTTTCATCTGAACAAGGAGCGTGCTCAACACCATGACAGGAACTGTCTGTTAGGTCAAAAGCCAATGTTCACTACGCTCCGCATCTGCATACATGAACTGTGTTGGCCTTGTTTGTTTCCTCAGTTTTCAGTTCACCAGTATCTCCATGACTATTTGGGCCAAGAATGCTCAGCGGAAACTCTGGGTAAAACTGTATCCTAGATGCAGCCAGTAGTCTTCTGGCAGCTGTGGTCTTGTTTTATTTCAAACTATTTCACTCCTGCTGAGACAAAAGAAGACTCGGCCAAAACAGTAGCAGCTCGCAGTTCAGACAAAGAGCAAAACTACTTGATCTAAAAGTTCAAATGAGACCGGAAAAATGCCTCAACATCACTTGTAACAGCGATTTGTACATTATGAGAACTACATAAAAACATTTGTGTTTCATCTTTCATAATTCTCTCTACTGCTGTCGTCACTGAGTTAAGATGGAGAGAGAAAAAGCTAAGTTTGGACTTCCCAAGCCAAACTTTCACATTGAAAAGATTGTCATTAAGTAAGCATTAAATAAGAGGCAGGGGGCACAAAAACAGAAAAAAGGTACAGCCTAGGTTTTTAGAATCTAGGTAAAACTGCTCATGTCACATTAAAGAGGTTACAGTAGCCACAAAGAGGATTTTATGTAACCAACAACAATTACTACTGTAATCTTATGTTATTGACATATAGTGGATGTTGCTCTTGGGCTGCAACTAATGATAATTTACTTGATTAAACCTTTGTTCTCCAAAATGTCAGAGAACAGTGAAAATTACATAAAAATTTTGTAAAACCCAAGATGACGACATTAAATCTCTTCTTTGTTTGACCGACAATCCAAAACCTTCAAAAGTTCAATTTTTATCCTTTGAGAACAAGAAAAGCAGCAAATTCTCACATTTTAAGAACCATTTTTGTTCGAAAAATGACTCAAACGCTACATTGCTTATTAAAATATTTCCAGAGTTTCTTTCAATCAGCTGACTGATTCATTAACTAATCCAAGCTGCCCTGCACTGCACCCTATCATGTCATTTGATACGTGTGCCAGAGCTGGTCAGAGGTTAAACAAAGACTCACTTTAATCAGCCTTGAGGTCAGGATTTGGGGTTAGCACTTAGGTTATGTAGTAATGACATAGTGCTGCAGTTTCCTGCAGCCACACTGTCAATAGCAACTGTGAAATATGAGGGAATATTTGACTCATTAGAGCTCTGATCAAGGACTCTTATTTATTCTATTAACCAGTAACATGGCTTCTTTACATATAAGTGAATATTTTCTAGAGAGGAGTGTGCAAATTGGTCAAAATCCCTGATTAGATGAGGTTTTTTATGATACCCATATCTCAAGGTACATATATTTTGCAAATGACACTATGGAGCCATTAACTTCATTAGGCAACTTCCATAGAGACTGATAAGAGCAACAATACTGTCTTTGTTGGCAGCTGTGGGTGTGGAATAACACAAATACAACCTGAGAGGGAGAGAGAGCGAGAACAAGCCTGTTCTGTTCGCAGTTACTGTTCTTTCAGTGTGTGTGTGTGTGTGTGTGTGTCTTCGGTTGGACCTCCGAAGGACAAACTCATTAACAGTTTGTCTATGAATTACCATTTTTGCATTAACAGGTCTTGACGGCCATTTTAAAATGTGCCTTTGCATCCATCCACTTTTTCTGGAGTGGAGGTCACAAAACAGACAAACTCTGCCTGAGGTGTTTACCAGCAAACTAATACAGGTTACACTCTGTGAGCAGTTTTATAAGAAGAATAAGATAAGAATCAAGTTATTTTAAAGGTTCAAGCCACATAACCCTGGTCGTTTAATGACTCCCTGTCCACAGAGCTCAGATGTTCTGTTAGAACTTGCAACAGTAGCACACATCTTCTGATTCTTGCCTGGAGAAAAAAAGGCTTTAAAAGAAAAATACCTCAACACTGAGAGACGTCCCACGTATGAAAGAAGCTCTACTGGCTTTGTCTGTTTGATAAGATTTTATCCAGCATATTATTGAATCTTTCTGATATGACACTGGCCTGCAGCTCTTAATAAATCTCTATATATTAAAAAATGGATTAAAGAGGGGGACTTTTAAATTGGAACAAAGTATGTTGACAGGTACAGGCAGGTGTCAAATTAAAGTAAAAAAACTGGACAATGATCTGGTCCCTTTTTTTTAAAACATACATGTTACATGTTTACTTGAATTTAATTGTCTTTTCCCATCTCATTCCACAGTGGGTCATATAGGAGGGGGTTCTCTCTCCCTTGTTGAATTTGTGGGCCCCCATTAAAACACTTTAGGTGATATTGGAGCACACAAATAAACTTAAGGCTTGACTTAACTTGGAGAAGAGGCTGCATGAAACCTCCCTACACTCTCTAATGTATTTGCTGGGACAGGAAATGCTAACCAAAGTTCAGTCCGCCGAGACTGACTGAGTGTTGTAGTCCTCCCCCCTCCCGTCAGCCTAGTTGTTGCCAAAGGTCGAGTCCTTCAAGTTACAATATGTGAATGTTTAATTTCACCCCCCCAGCGACACACACACACACACACACACACACAAACACTGACTCAGGCTCTATCAAAACCTATGCATTTACTTATTTTCTTTAATCTTATTGGTTAGTTGTCCTGTTCTGTTTCATGTGTAGTAGAAACGGACACTTACTGTACTCCATGAGCGACTTGGTATCCCAGTTGTTATTCCTGCCTCGGTACTGGTTCCACATACTGGCGTAGTGGGACTCGGCGCCTTCGTCCTCGACCCATCCCGAGTCGGCGGCGATGGCGATAATGTCAAAAATAATGGCGAAGAGCAGCAGCAGGGGCACGATCCACCTGCATCGGGGGTAGGCGATCCCACAGCGAAACATGACCGACGATCGGAGTGTGTGGAGCGGGTTAGAGAGAGAGAGAAACGAGGGACAAACAAGTGGGTACGCGCTGCGTCAGTCCGGTTATAAAGGGTGTTCTTCTTGTGCGTTTTTGTGCAAAGGCAGTGTGAAAAGGGTGTGGTGCGGTTAAAACCTCGCCCGAGCCTGTCACGCAACCGGTTTTGGGATCTGAAGGGCTGGGCTTGTCTGGCAGTAAAAGCTGAATCAGGCCCAGCCCCACTGACTGTGTCATATTACACCCAAAAAACTGCAACTGTCCAGGCGCCTGTTTCACCTGAGTCCGGACTCCCAGCTCTGACTCTTAATGGTAAAGTTGGTCATATTTAGGTTTTGGAATAACAACAGGTGACCATGGGCAGGACTGTGAGAGAGCAGAGTGTGAGAGGTAGAAAAGGAGAGAAATAAGAGATAATGAGATGATGCAGTGATCAAAGTGGCCACAAGATGGCAGCCCAAGGAAAACTATAGGCTACTTTCTC